AACATTCGTACTCTGTACCTAGATATGCATGAACACGCCTTTCTGCTGACCCAACTAACGAATTATATATGATCACCACCATTAATATCAAGTTGCTAACATTGTCAACAATTTGGTTAAGTTGTTCATCATATAATATTTAAAAAAAAAAGTCAGCTCAGCAAAAAAGTCACAGTAATCCTTCTTGGTGGGACATATTATATGATCTATGTACTAAGGTCAAAGGTTAAGTTAAAAGGGGAGTTGTTAAAATTGACCCTAGTTTCATTTCATAATTGAATTACATACAGGATTTTTTTTTTTTAATTACTTTTGGGTCAGCGATTTTTTTGTGTATATATTTATATTTCCTTGTTTTATGCAATTTTATGCTAAATTAATGAATTTTGAATGCATATATCTATGTATCCCATTTAATTCTTACATAATTTGATTGCTACAATGCTACAATCACCTCACTGTTAACCCCAAGCCGAGCTGTAGCAGTGGGTGTGAACTGTTTGTTGAAATAATAATGTGTTATTAGGTAATTTATGAGGCTAATGGAAGACAGACAGAAGTCCAAATATCTTTTTATATTTTGGATAACGTTTTAAGAAAAGTGTTGTTTAGCTTTATAATAGCTGGTTTTCATTCCATCTCATTGAAATATATTCGCTTGAAACCGATTAAGATACATAAATATTTCGTCCAATGATTACATAGAATATAAGTGACGCAACCCCCCCCCCCCCAGTAAGGAAAGAAAAGTAATTGCCATCTGTCAAAACTGTTGGTATTATACAAGAAGTGAAGTAATTATGGATGTAAGCAAATACCAGTAAAAATAAACAATCCAATTATTCCCTAAATCTCAGACACCTCCTGTCTATCTTTAATGCCAAAATTCTGGTTTATTTAAAATCTCAAAATTTTATTTTATCAACAATTTGTTGATCTATTTTTGTTTGCATTTCTGATTATACCACAGTGCACAAAAACTTCTGTGGTTGTATTTCTTTGTCTCCTGAGAAAATATATAAAATAAATAAGCATAATATTGTTAGATAGACTGTCAAACTGTTGCTTGATGTTAAACTGTAAAACATGATTGAGGATGTACAAACTTGCTATATTGTAGAGGTGGATCATGGATGGCCTGCATTAATTATATTACCAATTTATAAACAAATATTTTAATTAATAAACTGTCAAATTGCTGATCCAACTGGACTATATAAATGTTTTAGTTTGTAACAATGAAATAGACATAGAAGATGATACTCCTAACACAATCCTGTGAACATACATTGTGATATAATTAACAAGTTTGTTTTCTTTCTCCATCCATGTAGGTTAAAGTTCTATACGTTCGTAATCTAATGCTTAACACGACAGAAGAGACAATCGAGAAAGAATTCAACAGTTTAAAGGAAGGTTCAGTAGAGAGAGTAAAAAAGATCCGAGACTACGCATTTGTTCATTTTGTCACAAGAGAAGATGCTCTCTATGCTCTCAATGCTATGAATGGTAAATAAACAAAAAAAAACTCTTGGAATTTATTATTTATACATTTTTTGGGGGGTTGAAATTCTAGAAAACTGTAAAACAATTTGATTTCTGTTGCAGGTCACAATGTTGATGGTTCTGTTGTTGAAGTGGTTCTTGCCAAGCCAGTGGATCGGGAGAACTATGTCCGTTATACCAGAGGCGGCGCAAGAGGCACATTCTCTCAGGGCTACGTTGCACCGTTTGGTTACGATCCAAACTATGGCCCACCGCAGACAGCTAATTACTATGGCCAGTTTCCACAAGCAACGAATACCAGATACCAAGAGTAAGTAGAATAAATATTTTGATATGCCTAAGAGTTTTCATCAAATAAAGGAGAAGTTTCACTTTCACAATCTATAAAATGAAGTTTCAGAAACAACATGGTTGTATTCAATATGTAACATATGTTGTGTTATTCTCACATCAGATTTGAAAATCACCCTAGTGCTAGAGGTGGTATGATACGAGGACGCGGTCGAAGCGCTGCGGGCTCAAGAGGAGCTGGAGGTCGTGGTTACTTGGCGTATAACATGGGAAGAGGATATGGACGAGGATTCTATGACAAGAAAAACCCAGTTGAGGTAATAATGCGTCAAATGCCTGGAAAGTAGTGGACTTTTTTTTTTTGATGCCTCAGATCGGTCAATTACAGTAGAGATATTAGGGTTGTCTCCAAATGAGAGTACAGTATTAAAGTGTACATTTGGACTAGCATTTTTACAGTCAAGATTACATTTTTCCCCTTCACTTCATCATATTTTAAACATAGCTCTTCAGACAAATAAACACCTGCCTATTATCTGATTGGCTGCTACAGATCACATGACTACATCACTCGTCTGCATTGCCACCTGTACACTTTATTATATGTCGTCTCATGCAATGGATTTGATACCAGCAGGTTGAGTTAGATAGTATAGACACCACAGTGTTAATATATAAATACACATAGCATTCACACTGAAATATGCATCTACTCACTGAAAATGGGTTGGTCTTTTCTTGTTTGCTTTAAAATGTGTTATTTTTAGCATGTGCACTGTTGTCTATTGTGTTTTTTTTTATTCTCTATAGCCCCGACTCTATGATATAGTGCCTGGCATGGAACTGACACCAACTAACCCACTGACTTTAAAACCGTCGGCCATCAAATCTGCAACCCAGGTACAGACAAAATGAGAAACTATAAACTGAAATGCCATGACGTTTAATAACACTTCTCTGTGCTTGCAGTCACACTAGATTCCACCCTCAGTTAATGATCAACTCATTCCCATGCACTGCTTGTCTATATTACCCTAACTCAACCAGTAAAAGCTCACTCTTCATTTCCTGATCACTCAAACATAACGGCATCCATGCAACGCTACCAAGGTACTGGGTGGGAAATAAACAACCTGTTTCATCCTGAGTGGTATCAGTATTGCGTAGTTGTTTTTCAGTATCATCTGTAGACATCATTTAAAATATTGCAATTGAATTTGTTTCAGGTATCATCATATTCCACCAGTTTTAGTGAATCAAATAATCACCAGTTTTTGTTTTAATTAATAGGTTTTAGGTGCTAGGGATGTTTTTCACAGATCTTTTATCAGTTCTAAATATTACTCCCTAGCCCCAGTTTAGCAGCATTGCAGACCAAATGTCATTGAACACTATCATAACCATCATAATCAAAGTTTTTTTAGTACATTCACGTCGTGAGGTGAATACTTCCAAAACAAATTTAATTACCCCCAAAATGTCTGGGACTATTTATTTAACGTTCAGATTTCATACTATTTTGAGGCACTAGTTGTCGAAGATGATTTGAAATATAAGATGACCCATGATATGTCTTGCTTTAGTTTACTTGTAAAACTTAATGTGATTGACATTCTGTGCAACCACCTGTTGCACAATCAAAACTACCTGTTATGTCAGCTTCTTGAAAATTGTTTGTGCTGGGATTCTGGTCTTGGGTTCATCTGCAAGATTGCAAAACTAATAATCGAGGCAATGTTAATAGATTTACTAAAGAAATTCTGATCAGAATTATATCAATGAGACATTTTCTTTTGAGATTCTGTTGAAATGACTAAAAATCACAATTTAAGTATAAATGTATGGTCCAGGGTCATCGTCATCTTGCACTCTGTGGCGTCCAGCAACCTCCTCATCTCCCAATCTGTAGAATACAGCATAGCGTCAAGGGAAATCATCATCATCTCAAACTCTGCAGGATCCAGTGACATCATCTCACACTGTAAGGTCCAGTGATGTCATCTCACACTTCTTAGGGACCAGTGACGTCATCTCACAGTTCGTAGAGTCAGTGACATCATCTCACACTTCGTAGAGTCAGTGACATCATCTCACACATCATAGAGTCTAGTGACATCTCACACTTAGTAGAGTCAGTGACATCATCTCACACTTTGTGGAGTCAGTGACATTATCTCACACTTCGTAGAGTCAGTGACATCATCTCACTCTTCGTAGAGTCAGTGACATCATCTCACACTGTAAAGTCCAGTGATGTCATCTCACACTTCTTAGGGTCCAGTGACATCATCTCACACTTCATAGAATCCAGTGACATCATCTCTCCCTCTTTATGGTCCAGCGACATTGTCATCTCAAACTGCTTGTGTCTGTCTTATCACATTTCACTATTTTCTTGTCGTAACTTTCTCACCAATCTACTCTCTGAAACAAACAAATCGTCTGTTTGGTTTGAAATTCCCTCCTCAACAAATTCTTCTTGCCTTTCTCTTTCTGCTCTTAGTATTTGGAGGAGATCTGTAACAAGAACAACTGGGGAAACCCGGTATACACTCTGCACTCCACCAGGGGGCATGAGAATGTTCAGCTTTTCCTGTACAAGGTAACAAACTATAATGACTACTCAAGTCATAGTCTTGTCTGTTGCTGTGCTTCGGCTATAGTACTCCACAATGGGGTAGTTATAAGCAAAGTACAGAAGCTTCATTTGGTTTTATACAATAAGCAAATTTTACAGAATTGAAATACTTTCTTTCTTAATAATCTATTTTTATTTAATTAAACCATTTTCTGTTTATCTTTTCCTTTTCTCTAACTTGCATGACAGTTGTGAGATGCAAAACTTTGACAATTAAGCAACTTTTTTGTGTTTCTGTTTGTTTAATTTCTTTTGGTTGAATTTTGGACTTTTTTGTTCATTTTCATCAGGTTTCGGTACCAGCTTTAGCCAATCATTTCCCAAACAGCTTCCAACCAAATAAACTATGTCCAAGTGTGGATGAAGCCAAAAGCTATGCAGCTGAGTATGTTCTTATTCAACTGGGAGTACCACTAGATGGTAAGTGTGCTTGCAATCATACAACTATTTAAAACAAAAATCGACTCTTGGCTTTCGCAGTTTGGTAATCCAACATTCATTCTGTATAATCAATAAAATATTTGATCTTTGTAGGTTCTGCTGGTGAGGTACCAGTTACCATGACCACTACGCCATCAAACTTCCAGGATCGCCCCATCGGACCAACTGGGTATGCTATGGCTAATGGTGGTGCCCGTGCCACCGAAGCCACACCGTACCCAGCCTATGTTCCGATCACCAGCGCACCATCTATAATGGCCCAAGGGAAAATGCTGCAAGGTCAGTGATCAGTGATCTTCAACTGTTTGATTGTATAGGTATGTGAACCTATGTAACTATGCGTAGGTTCATCGTCAAAATCCATGCATGCCATCCGCATAGCTTGCTCCTGTGCTCTGAATGCAAATATAACTATTGAGAGTTTATTCAGTTCAGACATCACTCAGAAAATTATTAAGTCAGCGTATAAACATCAATGCTATTATAATAAGTTATGTAAGACATATTTACTTGATTGAATTATGCTACAATTTGCATAGGCATAATTTCCTTAGGAATATTTTGAACCTTTGATAATTTACCTGGGGTTCTTTTCTTCAGGCAGCCCTTTCAGCGACTTTTGTACAATTTAGTCTCAACATCCTGATTATAATTTTTAAGTTGAGAAATAGCTTTGAAAACATAACTACCAACAACATCCTCAAATGATTGATTGGCAAACTTAGAAACCTGCATTCAAAGCATAGTGTGCAATATTTTTCATGCGTTTCAACAAATTCTGCAAAGTTTGGTCATTAACTTTGATGGCAATTTGAAAGCATTTACTTGACTTTCACGTTTTAAATTTTGAGGGGGAAATTAAGACTTGTATATATTTGCAGAATGGATTGTGTAAACATAATAAGGAGATGCTCGGCTGGATTATTTGTTGCTTATAACTGCAATGTACATGCAATTCTGCATCTCATCACATTTCATCATAGAATACCATTGCATGGGTTAAAGGTCTTGCTAGTTTATTTCAACTTTAATCCTTCAAGCGCCATGATTTTGGCACTACATTTTAAAAAATTGTTCAAATTTCTTTGATGATTTTCCACTGTCTGCAGGTCTTGATCCAAATTGTTGGGAAAACAAATTATGAAATTTTGCAACCTTTAATATTTTGTGAAATGTGCCAAAATTAACCATGGCGTTCAAGGGATTAAATGGTTTAAATTTGTTTTTAAAGATATTATGCTAACATGTTTTGGCCAGTTGTCAAAAAAAGATGCAACAAATATACAATTATGTTACATTTTGCTGTGTTTTATGTGTTGTAATGTCTCACAAATAAGAATTTACTGGAAACAAATCTAATAATTTATCCCGTGTTGCTATTTCTTTTCGTTTTTTGTTGACAGGTGGTCTTAGTCAAGACAACCAGACACCCACAGCATCGCCTTACTACAATCAAGCAAGCTATCCTCCTACCCCTGAGATGTATCAACAATATTCATGAAAATATTCTACTTAAAATTTTTTAAATATTTAGTAGTCATTAGTTACATAAAACTGGTTACGGTACTCTTAGAAATTATTTTTATCTTACCATTACTTTGGTTTTAAAAGTGTTTGCATGTGGACAGTTGACTGTTGCAATTTTATGCTGTTATAAAGCTGTTGCTTTTCCTTCACGTTTTCCATTTAACATTTGGCATTTTTTATTAGACCAGTTACTTTTTAAAACCTTTCTGGATAAAAACTTAAGTCTCTTATTGTTCTTGACAGAAGTTTCCAAAGCCTTTTTTTCCCGCAGTTCTTCCTGTATTCGTCTTGGGTGAACTCGTGCAATCAAAAAATGTCTGTTTTGAGGTTAAAAACACTGGAATGCGTGTAATCCATATTTGTCAAATCTGTACTGGTACACATATCACAAGAATATTGACAGCGTTGTTTTTTTTTCCATTGATAGTTTATTCGATTGAACTGTTATGTTTACACACTTTTTTGTTCAGTTTTTCTGGTAAATTTCATCAATATAGAATAACCCACTTGCCTGCTTTAGATGGGCTTTACCAGCCTTTGACCAGGATGTTTACATGTATCTACCAGCATCAGAAGGCAATGCACAGGAAAAAGAAATCATGTTTTTGAACAGTAACTAGTCCACATGTAATATTAAAAGAAGCAACCCATGATTTCCTGAAGATTCACCCAAAACGATATGAACTAAACCAAACCATAGTAAGAAACACTAACCCATTGTGAATGAAAACATCTTCCTCATTATATATTACAGAGTTTTATAAAAAAAGCTTTATTTTCAGAGCTTTATTTTTCTACCTGGGAAGGCAATCAGATGTGTACATCAGTGATTACTTCAACAGGTAAATCATGGGTGTTTGTGATGCAACTTAAGTTTTCAAAGATACTTCTACATATTATTATTTTATGTTTTAAATATTTCATTTGGTGCAAGTTATATATTTTATTTTTAATTTTGTTTGGTGTTGTGTCTTTACTTCGAACCATCCAGTACTATATACTAAAGAGTAAAAAAAAAACTTAAAAAAAAGAAGAATGGACTGTCATCTTGCCAAAAATGTTGGCAGTCTGTGTGGTGGTAATACGTATAAGCTGCAAAAATTGAACTTCCAATCGACTAAAGTTTTACTATCATCAGTTCACCGTAATAATATTGTGATATTAGCGCGTCGTCTGATAAAAGCTTCCACGTATAGCGAAAATGAAAATCAACCGGTGATGCGATGTGTTAAACCACCAGTAGCCAATATTGGCAAAATATTTCCTCAATATGTTTCTGAATACTTGCTTTAAAATGTTAGAAAAGAACTTAGTCACGAAAGTGCAGCTTAAGACTTCCATCTTAAGAAAACAAACTTGAAGTTTTTATGGAAAAACAATTGTCTGTAGTTTGTTTTGCAATGTTTTAATGTTGCGTCGTTGCCTTGAAATTGTGTTTCATTGCCATGTTCTTATTTTGAGCATTCTGCAAACATTTTTGGTTTGTTCTAAAAAACTCATTTTTCATCAATTATCTAAACAGTTTATTGATTGTTTAAAAACTGTTTATAAAAAAAGGGAAAATCAAAGTTTGATTTTTTTGGAAAAGGAAAAAAATATATTCCAAGTAAAACAATTATTTTCCTGTTGGAATTTTTAACTGTTTTTAAAGTTGACTAGATTTAGTTGATGGAAAGCGTTTGATCTTTTAGGATTTTTTTTCCTCCGATGAAAACAAAAATGAGAATAATTTCATTGATACCAAACTACAATCAAGGACAGAATAGCGTAACCATAGAAATGCTTGTCATACATCTGCATCAAGAGTACTGCATTGTTATTGTTGTGTCAGTGTCAACTGTGGGCGACACCTTACACAGTAATTCATATAAAGCATGTCAAATTAGAAAGTGCTACCCGAGAGAAACATGAATGATCTTTAGAGTATATGAATCACACACGCTATTATGTCCTTAGTTGTAAGCCCCACTTGTTGCAGTTTGTTGGCCATTGCCATCCTAGAGAAACGCTAGTGTCCCACTTTGCACCCCAACACTTATTGAGTAGTGCCATCATTCATTTGGGGTTTGTATATTTAAGCGTTTACATTTATTTTGTTGAAAACAAATCGAAGTATTTTTTTTTTTTTTGTTCTTTTTCGTATCTTCTTCCAAACACTCTTGTCTCAGGATGTACACTATGTATTCTGTATTCTAGAGCAACCAACCAATCAAAGTGCATGTTACTTCTTATGGACTGAGTACATGCACATGTTAATGGTTTCTGATTGGTTGATTTCTTGTAATCTTAACTGTTCTGTAGGGATGGAGAGCGCCCTCTTTATCCAATGTATGATTGATTTTAGCACGACAGTGCATGTACATACAGGTTTGTGATGAAATGTTAAGTTTTGTTCTTCTCGTTCATGACCAATGTGTTGAGTAGATCAAGGAGCTGAAAAGCTGCATTTTGATTGGTTCTTGTAATTCATCAATCGTGTACTTGAAACAAGAAATTTGGCCAATTATACAAAGTAGACAGGTGTAGTTGCCAATAACGAATGCGCCACAACATACTACCACCATAGTCTGCATCTTATGTGAGCCTCTTTTAAAACTTTGTAATTGTATTTTTTTCCTAGAGTCTGCACATAAGTTGTACAAAGTGTTGTATTTTAGAGTTTTTAAAAAAGATCTACTGTAAAAGTTAAAATCTGGTGTTATTTTTTTCATCTTAAGAAAAATGTAAAATGTGTAAAAGTGGAGGTTCCATCACAAAAACTGTATTAAAAAGAGTCTATAGTGGAAAGAGGAACAACTGTGTATGTGTTCATTTCTTTGACACCCGAGCCCCCTTTTGTAATTGCTTACGTACATTCGTATCAATAATAGTTTACAAAATATTATCCTCATTGGCCCAGGATTTTAATTTACTTTTCCACAGATTTGAATTGTAGAAAGATGAATTACATGAAATATACTGATTACTGTACATCTATTTTAATAATATGATCTGAAAACACATGCACCCAAACCCAATGGAAACTAACATGGTGTAAACGCATTAATTATTTGCAGATTTTCAATCAAACTCCTGTTCAGGGAATTTGCTGATTGAATCCATGTAAATGAGTAATATTATGATAGAACTTGTTTCACTGACAAATCAGTGTATTTGAATTCTGGTGAATACACTGATCAAAACAGTGAAAAATCATTGTACAAAATGTACAGTAATATGAAATACTGTCTCCAGGGTGAGTGTCTACCCACCTTACCTTACCCTAGTTTTAATTAAAAGGTGGGTGTGCCCTCAATAAATCACCCAATGAGTCAGTGCCCTCATAGGTTGAATCATGGATACAAAATTCTAGATCGAGCATTCATAATAGTGAACTTTGGACTGAACATGCTCTCACAAGAATATTCCACTATGCTAAATACAAGACATTTTTGGTTTCCATAGTTACACATTTTTGGCCCTCTAGGGATTAATAGTTAAAAATCATTCCACATCCGTACAAGTCGTTTCAGTTAATCTCCCATTATCTTTTCCAAAAATTATTTGATTTGCATTATGTCAATTCTGAATGAATTAGTTTTCAATTTTGAAAACATTTCCCATTTCTGCCACAGAGGGCGTATATTTATATTCTTCCAATGAGATTTTTTTTAGTTATCTAGGAAAATTAGATGTATGTAGCTGTTTTACAGTATTCAAGTCAGACTTTGGTTTAATGTAGCATCGTTGTGATAAACATAGATATATGCACACTGTTGTAGGTATAATCGTGTAAAACCACAAGCAGGCCAAGTTAATGCTTTATGTTAAACTGACTGTGATAGAAGTTATGGCCAGGTTTTCAATAACTATCTACTCATCAATTCCAGACCTACCATTAGTTACAATATATGGTTAAACAATCTACATACAAATAATCTAGTTTTTCACAGAGTTATGCAAGATAACATTTCACAAGATTTACAATTACAGTTTACAATCTCAGTATTTACACAACAACTTGCAATTTGCATAGAGACAAGTGCGAGTTTAGGGAACAGTCTAAGCAATTGGTCACATGACCAGGACTGGTATTAAAATCTGTGTGTGTAACATACTATCATTGAAGTTAGAAATGAATTTTTTTTTTCGCTCCATGGTCGGAAGGAGCAATTCTGGTCGACCAAAGAGGAAAGACCAAGTCATACTACACAAAAGTGGACCATGTGTTGAGAAAATGAACAAACGTTTGTCATGTCAAACAAACCAATACAAAACACTATATGTGAATTTATAAGTTTTATTTATTGCACTTAAAGAGTGTTAATTTTGCAACAGAAATATTTCCAATAATCACATTGTTTTTACAAGGCACTATTAAGAGTCATACCTGACCTTTGACTCTCTAAACACAGTCCAAACAGTTACAAACTTTCTTTAAAACCAATTTATTCTGTAGAAAATTTAATTGCCATGATTAGTGTTTGATTTATGTTCAACATTCATGCAAGTAATCCATAACAATAGCAGAGTTATCTCGTTGCTAGGTTACCATGCAGGTGACTGCGTAAATTACCCAGAGTAAAAGGGAGTGGTTGTTATACTGTTGGTCACGGTTACTAACCGTGTGTTGGTGAAGAGCAATATGCGGTCTCACACAGGAATTCCAGAGTACCAGTTTCAGTTTTGTCTCAAAATGTTGCTTTGTGTATAAGTATTGGCATTCAGGTTGTTGTTTGAAAATTCATGAGATGTTCGTAAAATACGAGAAAAGTATTTTTTTTAGTAAGCAGTTATCAAATCAAGCAGCACAATTTATGAATTTGTGAAATTTTGGTACCCATACGTAGATTACAAGACATTGTGGTATCTTTTTGGTTTTGCAAAAAACAAAGTTTTGTGCTGAGACACATTTTTTTCACTGCCGTTTCTTCTGAACTTGTGTTTGTCCTTGTCCCTAATATGTAAGGACGAGTGTCCCAAACCTAAACCACATGTTTGGAAGGCAATGCAGATTGTTCTCAAATTTATACTGTTATTAAGTGTACAGTCTGCTCTTGGCTCAGTGATTCAAACCTTGAACCTCCGTAGTATGAGGTGAACATGCTAACCAATGCACCATCACTCAGGTCAGACATTGGTCATGAAATCAACCTACCGGTATTAGTACCCTATCTTATCATTGAACACACAAACCAATACTGCAGTGACTAGCAAGCTTAAAACTT